GCGGGAGGACAAGTCAGGATCCTTCTGCAGCAGTTTATTGTATGCGCATCTTACACTCTTAGAAGCTTAAAGACCGAAGATGCCGAGAAGCGGGAGAGCGGTTGCTTATATAGTCTAAAGGTCCCATCTATGACGTATAAGAAGCGGATTGGTTGCTGGAGATCACGCCACGGGAGGAGGCGAGGGAGAGCAGGCTCTTGTGCACGCCCCTTATGGGCGCAGCAGGATGTTTACTGTTAAGAAGGTCCGGATACCGACGCCATCTTGTAATGGCGGCGGAGGCTGTGGCTCTCCACAGTCACTGTTTTCTTGAGTCTTTGTTTTTTTAGTTCTTTATATATTCTGGATGTTAAACCTCTGTCAGATATATCCCTGGTGAAAACTGTCTCCCACCCTGTGGGTTTTCTCTTCACTTTCTTGTTTGCTTCTTTTGCTGTACAGAAGCTTTTGAGTTTAATGGGGTCCCACTAGTCTATTGTTCACCTAAATCCTGAGCAACTAATGTCTGATTTAGAAAGTCCTTTCCTACACCTATATCTTGAAGGGTGATGCATATGTTTTCTTCTAACAGTTTCAGAGTTTCAGGTTTCACATTGAGGTCTTTGATTCATTTGGAGTTGACTTTTGTACAGCTGAAAGAAAAGAGCCTAATTTTATTCTTCTGCAGGTAGAGATCCAGTTTTGCCAGCACCACTTACTGAAGATATCTTTTTTTCCTCCATTGTGTGTTCTTGGCACTTTTGTCTGTTAGGTCAATTTAATGTATGGTATTGTTTAATTCAGATGTCTCTCTGTTTATTCTTTGTCTGGTTGACTTGTCTAATGAAGATAGTGGGGTATTGAAGTCCCCTACTCTTGTGAGTTGAGATTAACCTGTGTCTTAAAGACCTGTAGTACTGTTTTTATGAAGTTGGGTGAACCAGTGTTTGGTGCATACATGTTCATGATTGTAATATCTTCTTGTTCAATTGTTCATTTGATCAGAATGAAGTGACCCTCTTCATCTCTTCTGATTAGTTTTAGTTTGAAGTCTATTTTGTCAGATATTAGAATTACAACTTCTGCTTGTATCTTAGTGCCATTTGCTTGCAATAATTTTTTTCCATCTTTTAACCTTAAGGTAGTGCTGTCCTTGAAGGTGAGATGGGTTTCTTACAGACAACACAAAGATGAATTTTGTTTCTTAAACCATTCAACTAGCCTGTATCTTTTTGCTGGGGAGTTCAGCCCACTGATATTTAAAGTTATTATTGAAAGATGTGTATTGATTCCCATCATTTTAATTTCTGTTGGCATTCTTGGTCTAACTTTGTGTTTCCACAGTTATACCTTCATTTAGTTTATTTCTGTTGCCCCTTGGGTATAGTCATTCCTTTCTTCAGGTCTTTGTATTGCTTCAAGAATTCTCTGAAGGGCTGGTTTTGTGGACATGAATTCTTTCAGTCTATTTACGTCATGGAAGATTTTTCTTTCCCTTTTAGCTATAATAGACATTTTTTCTGGGAAAATTATTCTGGGTTGTCATCTATGGTCATTTAGAACTGAGAATACTTTGGTCCAAGCTCTTCTGGCTTTCATAGTTTGCATTTAAAAGTCAGCTGTAATTCTAATGTGTTTTCCTTTATATGTGACTTGTTTTTCTTTTGTAGCTTTCAGTATTCTCTCTTTGTTCTGTGCATTTGGTGTTTTTACTCTGGTATGTTATGGGGAGTTTTTTTTTCTGGTCCTGTCTATTTGGTGCTCCATGTACTTCTTGTATCTGTATGAGGATGTCTTTCCTTAATTTTGGTAAATTTTCTTGTACAATCTTGTTTAAGATTTGATCAAAAACATTATCCTGTGATTCTTCTTCTTTGTCTGTGCATATAATCATGGAGCTAAGAGGGTAGTCCAGGGATCTGGGATACTAAGAGCAAAAACAGTCTGGCAAAGCTAGAGGGGGAAGAGTGTGTGGGGTTGGCAAAACTGAGGTTGGGTTGCTCAGGCATTAGGGGAGTCAAGACACAGTAGGTGGTAGCAGACTTACCAGAGAAGAAGCTTGGTCTCAAAAATCCAAGGCTAGGTGAGAGTGGTGATAACCAGGGTAGAAGGCTGGTCTCAGGAGTTCAAAGAGTGGGGACAGCCTGTGAAGACTCCAGCAAACTAGACTGAAAAAAATAAGCTGATTTGTGTGCAGGGGATAAGGACACAATGGACAGGTCTGGACTAAGAGGGTAGTCCAGAGATCAGCAGTGCTAAGAGCAAAAGTGGGCCTGTGCCCAAGGCTAGAAGAGAATATGGTGTGGGGCCCAGAAAAAAAAAAACAAGACTAGGAGTTTGAAAATAGTTAGATTTCTCAGAATTTATCTTTCATGCTAACACAACCTCTGAAATTTTCTTAATTTGCTGTTCATTAAGACTGGTTTAATTTTATTCAGTTTCTAAAATTCATTAATTTTTTTGCAAATTAGAAATTTCATCTTTTTTGATGCTCTATCATTCCAATTAAAGTAGGCTGCCTATTCATGATCTTTAATTCTGTTGCCTAGGACTTCCAGTTTATCATGTAGGAAAGAAAAGAAATAATTTAGGAATATCAAATATTCCACACTGAAAAAGGCACAAGTCCAGTTATCATTAGTTAGACTTTCCCATTTGACTCTCAAATATTTGTTGAATCAACATAATCATCAAGCATAAAATCACTTTGTGTCCCAAATCAAGATCTAATTCCAAATATGTCCTCCTTCCCAGGAGGAATCTCTGTTTCCCATTTTCTCCTGAAAATTGCAAGCTTCTCTATGCTGGCTAGGGGGATGCGTGTGCCTTGGAGCAGATTTGTGTGCTGCCTTCTGATGTAGCTCAGTCAGCTCTCACCATGTGACTGGTTCTCACTGTCTCAGGTTTGCCTCACACATTTGTAAGGAAGTAAAGATGCCCACGACACTGATGATCAAGGGTTATGTGTTCCCAGGTAAGCCAATGAAATTTCTTCTAACTTAGGAACAGGAGATACAGATTGGGGGCTTACCTAAGAGGTAATTATGCATTGTGAGATGGTCTCTCTGAAACTTCCACCCTACGTTTTATTTTCAGCATTTTTATGATCAGGCACTCAAAATCCTAAACTAAAGGCAGCAAATTCAATGCAGAATTGAATATTGGAAGAGTGTCAGAATAGAAGTGTCTGAAGGCTAGAAAATAAACATTCTGAAAACAAAAATGAACCAAAGGCTTTGAAAATGACAAAATGGGATAGCTAAACTGAATTTTCTTTAACCAAAATAAGAAGTATCAAGCAAAATAAGATCCATACAACCAGCTCAGAATAAATCAATGGATTGTCATACAAACCAAGCCCCAGAAAGAACTTTACAGCATCCACCCAAGGAGGAAATATCAGAAAACTGGGTACAAGAGGCTTATGCTGGTACCTGGCACTAACCTCAGTGACTTCTCTGATCAAAATGGATTGTCAACATCAAAATACAGCACTTACCTCAGAAGGACTAAGAGACGGTTTATTTCAGAGCCAAATACCATATTCCAATGAAGTAACAGTTTCGTGAAATTTTTATAGTTATAAAACAAGTCATCAATCAAGGCACTCTTCAAATACATCTGTAGAAACATTAAGGTTAAAACAAAGTGGGAAAATCTCTGCTGTGAGTTTCAGATGCCATCTGATAGTAGCTTTAGCCTTTGGGTTTATGGAAGCTAGTGGTCTATTAATACATTAAAAGGATATCTGATAGTCACAAAGATGTTAGAGCATACACAAGTAGATAATTTGGCTCTGGATCTGTAACATTCTAACTCTCCCCAGTCGTGGAGCTTCTAATCATTATATCAGCCTTGTGGAATCTTTAACACAGGTAAGTATTTCTTTGCTCCCCAGCTCCCCTTCTGAAACA